TTTTCAGGGATGGTGTCAAAGGGATCTATCTCATCAATGTCAGTATTTAAAGGAAGTGGTCACCAGAGTCATGCTGCCCACATCAATGGTGGTGTGAAATCATGTCAGAGGGAGACTGATAAAAGAGTATCTATTTTAATGGTTATGGTTCACATTATTGCATAGTATTTTTAAAAATCTAGTTCATCAAAGCTGTGATTTCACATGTATTACTTCTAAGGTAAAGGCAGGCTTACAAATTGAGTTAAGTGTTGGCTTAATTACGGATATTAAGTAAATAATCATACAGGTAGTACTTAGAAATGGTATAAAATCATGAAGGTGATATATCAATGACTGAAGTCTCAAATACAATGCTGAAGATAATTTTCTTCTTTTGATAGCTTCTTTGTTGAGATTTTTGCTATTTGTTTCTATTTACAAAATACCTATATGCTTAAGGCAGAACACATGAAAACACCAAAAAGTACAAGTGAAAAACACAAAAATCAATCATAATGCTACCCTTAAAGATAATCGTGGTTTAGATTTTATTGTTTGCCTAGCCAGTCCTTATTCCATAAAAATGGGATTATGTCTTCACACTGGTCCAAAGCCTGACTTTCCACTTAGAAATATCTACCAAACATTTCCCCACTTGGTAAGTGTTCTTTTTCAGCAACTATTTTGCTAGCTGAAGAGTACTGTCTCATACTGTTAAAATCTAGTTAATTAATCCCCTCCTACTGGGAATTAAGGTTGTTTCTATTTTTTTCACTGTCATATAAAATGCTGCAGTGAACATCTTTGGACTTAAAACTCTTGATAAAATCTCTGAGTATCTACTTAAAACAAATTACTAGAAGCAGAGCTGCCAGGTTAAAAGGTCTGCCAAATATAAAGGTGTTTGGCTGCAAATTAACAGATTATGCTACAGAAAGTTTACCACAATAAATCATTCTACCAGTAAGTAATGAGAATACCCATTTCCATAACATTTGTAATGTATTATTGTTACCAATGGTATATTTCTTTTAAAATACTTCTGATTGTCAATACAAGTATATAACTCAGATGACTAAAAGTACGGAAATTAGAAATTCTACAATCATATATTCAGAATTATTTCGTTTTTTTCTTTGTGAATTACCTGTATATGCTCTTTGCCCTGATTTCTACTGAGGTGAACCAATGAAGCAGTAATCAGACTAGGTGTCAGTATAAAATAAAATAATAAATGACTTAAGTATTACAGTCCCAAGATGTACTTCCTTTTACATTTCTTATAACTCTCTTTCAGCTAAGGGGACAATCATTATTTTGAGGAGAGAAGACATTATTTTTCTATATCACTGTATTTTTTAATACGACATAGAAAAATCTTGAAAATAAGTAGACTAAATTAATTTTTTAGGAGAAACAAGTAAAACAAGGTCCTGCCACTTTACCGTAGTCGACAAGTTATCAAAGCAACCAAGAGGTAAGACATGGCATAGCATCATTCCAATAATGCTGATGTTTAAGCAAGAGCAGAAAATCTTCATGATAAGCTCACCACTGAAATTAGAAAAATTAATCCCTAGAAACATTTTATGCCTAGCAAGTTTAGGAACACTTGACTAACTCTAATTCTGCATATTACTTACCACTTAAGTGGGTGATTGTCCATCTTTTTGAAGCTATCACAACTCATCTTCTTGTGGTAGAGAAGAGGGTGGTGATTGATGGTTTTGCTACATGCTTACCCCAATCTACAAGTGCTACATGGGATGCAGTACTAATATGTTAATTTAAAGTAACAAATAAATTTAATCTCAAATTGAGGCTTGAGAATTTCGAATACTTTTTAACCCATCACAGAAACTCTCTATCTGTGGGTAGGAAACCAGGGTTCTGAACTGAAGTGGGCTGAGAGGAAAGCAGGGTGTCAGGAATACCTTTGAATATAATATATATATTATATTATGAGATGTCAAACAGATTCTTATTTATTAAAACATCCAGAAATTTTAGGGTGAGCTATAATGGTTGATAAGAGCCTACCAACTAGTTAGAACAATCTGCCATCACTCATTTATTAATGCAACAGGCATTTATGGAACACTTGTTTTGTGTCAAAGTATTGGAAATACTTTGACAAAGTATTTGACAAAGTATTTTCAATACTTTTTGGAAATATTAGTAAATAAGGCAGAGATTAACTACCGTCCTGATAAGGCCAATATTCTGCTGAAGGATGGGCAGAGAGGGTAAGACAGATAATAAACATAAAAACAGGTGAATAGGGAAACGGAAGACAGTGGTGTAGGAAACCAGGGTTCTGAACTGAAGTGGGCTGAGAGGAAAGCAGGGTGTCAGGAATACCTTTGAATATAATATATATATTATATTATGAGATGTCAAACAGATTCTTATTTATTAAAACATCCAGAAATTTTAGGGTGAGCTATAATGGTTGATAAGAGCCTACCAACTAGTTAGAACAATCTGCCATCACTCATTTATTAATGCAACAGGCATTTATGGAACACTTGTTTTGTGTCAAAGTATTGGAAATACTTTGACAAAGTATTTGACAAAGTATTTTCAATACTTTTTGGAAATATTAGCAAATAAGGCAGAGATTAACTACCGTCCTGATAAGGCCAATATTCTGCTGAAGGATGGGCAGAGAGGGTAAGACAGATAGTAAACATAAAAACAGGTGAATAGGGAAATGGAAGACAGTGGTAAAGGCTTTGATAAAAATCAAACAGGGGAATGGGAAAGAAAGTGACTTGGCAGGGTGTGAAGCAAGGGAGAACTTTAGACGAAGTGGTCCAGGAGAGCCTCATGGAGAAGCTGACACTTCAGGTGTGCCAGTCATGCAAAGGTCTTGGCAAAGAGTATTCTAAATTGAGGGAAGAGCAAATGCAAAGGCCCACAGCCAAGGTGATATGTTTGGGAAACAGAGAATGCCAGTGAGAAAGCACATAGGGAAAGTGGTGTGATCCAGGCTGATTCCTGTTCTGCCTCAAGCCTTAGCTATGAGTAGGGATGCCATTCTAGGGGTGAGGGGATGGCCATGGAAGGTTTTAGGCGCAGAATTGGCATGACCCAGTTTACAATTTTAAAAGATCACTTCAATTGGTGTGTGGTGGGTACATTTTCATAGGCAAGAAGGGAGGTGGCGTTACCAGTTGGGTAAACACTGATCATCGAAGTAAATGATGTGTGCTTTGAATTAACAGATAGTCATGGAGGCAGGAAGAAGAAAATCTCAATATCCTGTAGTTCTTATATTAAACATTTAATTATATACAATGGAATATTACTCAGCCATTAAAAAACAATGAAATGATGCCATTTGTAGCAATATGAATGGACCTAAAGATGATCATACTAAGTCTACTATACATAAATTAGATAATTAATAAAGAGGTACTGTATAGCATTGGGAACTCAATACTCTGTAATGACCTATATGGGCAAGGAATCTAAAAAAGAGTGAATATACATATATGTATAACTGACTCACTTTCCTATATAGTATAAACTAATACAACACTGTAAATCAACTATACTCCAATAAAATTTTTTAAAAATTAAAAAATATATATATTTATGGCAGTGTTCTGATGGTGTCTGTTGACTTTTTGCTTATTCCAATAGACTATAATAAACTTTAATTGCTACATTTAGAAAATGTCCCAAGTTACTCTGGGCTTTGCACACATGCATTCTTACAACTGCATCCCAAGCTCATGTGTGGGGAAGTTAACTCCCAAGGCCTCAAAGTTATTTTAAGTGAGGAGTTATATTAAGATTTACCAAAGTTTACTGGATTCTGAGCAAGGAACAACGGTTAGCCAATGAACTACAGTGTCCTCATTTAACCAACTTTAGGGGTAGAGTTGTACAGGAAAACCAGGGCACAGCTGAAATTCTATAATGGTTCTTAAAAGGCAAAGGGGAGCAAGATTACTAGGAAGGGAAGCTATTGTTTAAAAGAGCATTTTTCTGGGCCCTACCTTGAGCATGCAGAACCAGAATGTAGGGCTGGGGGCTGGAAATGTGCCTTTTAAAAATGCTCCCAAGAGACACTCAATAAAATTTGTAAAGTCTGCTGAGTAGGCACACAATAAATATTTGTTGAATAAAGGAATATAATGGGGAAAGATTTGCAGTTAATGAAGATCTAGAGTACTTCACTCCCCCAAACTTCCATCCAGAGAAAATATAAGCATGCATTTTTTGGGTGGGCCCAAGCTGAGCCTGGAGGAGGGCACGGCAACCCACTCCAGTATGCTTGTCTGGAAAATCCCATGGACAGAGGAGCCTGGCAGGCTACAGTCCACAGGGCTGCACAGAGTTGGACATGACTGAAGCGAATAAGCAGGCACTCAAGCAGAGCCTCAGGTAGCCACCTCAGATCCACTTGGAACTTTATGGTGTGACTAATATATGGGTACAAGGCAGGTTTTATGGAAGTTTTGTTTTAAATAATTTCTCTTGACCAATTGTGTCACCAAATGAGGAAGCACAAGCCCTTCAGCTGGTAAATACCATCTATTTTAAAGGCATGTAATCTTTTTTAAAAAATCATTTTGATCTTACGACACTTTCCACAAAGGGGCCAACTGACACGATACACACAACATCTAGGGTCCAGGAGATTTTTAGGAGCTCACAAAATGTTTTCATTTCTTTTAAAAATCAGACGAAAAACCTGAAAATATTCTAGACTGGACCATATTCAACTTTTACCAATGCAGTTACAAAATGTAATTTAAAAATACTTTAAAAAAAAATCAAGATACGCACATGAAGGCAACAATGACTAGGGAACATAGAAGTCGTCATAGGGCCCTGCTTTTTTTTTTTTTTTTCCTGAGCTGCATAGCTCTGGGGATATTAGTTCCCCATCAGAGAAGCAACCCGAGACCCCTGCAGTGGGAGTGCAGAGCATTCACCCCGGGCCACCAGGGAAGTCCCTGGCCCTGCTTTACTCACAGCCCTGGGCCCAGGTGACAGCTTCTTACCTGGCAAGCATTGTACAGCAGCTGATGCTCGAACTTCTTGATCCCAAGAATGTTCTGGAACATCTCGTAGAGTTGCTCTTTGCTCAGAATCAGCTCGGAAGCAGCGCTGGCCGTCATCCGGGCCTGCTGCTTCCTGGGGTCCTCCTCCCCGCGGTAAATGGCATCAAACTTGGCCATCCAGGAGCTCAGCACGGTCTCCTTGCTGAGGCCGTCGATCTCCGGCAGGCTGCGCACGCGCTTCTCGATGTGCTTCTTGAAGACTTCTCGCGAGTCGTTGGCGGAGCAGCCGCCGCTCTGCACCATGCGTGCCACCCGGTCGCTCTTCAGGAACACCTGTGCGGGAGGGGGCGGGGCAGACGTCAGAAAGCTGCCCTGGAGGAAGTGTTTCCCGGGGTGGGGGCGGAGCTGACCCCTTCGATGGCGTCCCAGGAGGCACCGGGGTGGGTCACAGCCTGACTGCTACCTCCTAGCTGGGGGAACTCCGGGGAGTCTCTTAGGTGTTCTGCTTTTGTGTCCAAATCTGGAAAATGGGAATGACAGTGGTATTTCCGAGATTGTCGCAAGGATAAAATGAGACAGTCATATCCTGAGAGGCAGCTTAATATAGAGACTCAGTTGCTCAGACTGCTTGGGTCCTCTCTCTGCCACTTACTGGCCGTATTTCTTCCAGCAAATTAAACTCTTTGTACTTCAGTTTTCTCATCTATAAAATTGGGAAAATAGTAGTTTCTACAACACAGGTGCTTCTAAATGAATAAATGAGTCAATTATGATAAACACTTGAAAGAGTGGCTCATATTAATATCATATGGGTTGTTGTGGTGGTGGTTATTATTTTTATATGTAAAATAGTTGGTATGATGTCTGGTCATAGCACTTCACACAGTACATAGTCCACTATTTACATCTCATTTTATCCTCTCAGTGACACTCATCACAATTCATATTGAAGAAGGATTATGTAAATATGTATTTCATGCCTGTCTCCCCTCCCCAAATGTAAACTCCATGTGGGCCAGAAATGTGCCCTTCTTCTTCCCCCAGATATCACCCACCCATCTTTAGAGTAGAGCCTCCTGCTTTGAGAGCGAATAATGAGGAAGGCAGGCATTATATTCAATCCATTTTGTAAATGGAAAAACCAAGACTCCAGAGAGGAGTCTTTTTTAAACTCATATTAACTCAAAATGGACAACTCTATAAACGCATGGTCTCTTGACTTCACCCTGGTTTGTTCCTTTCCCATGAGTCTCACCTACCTGGTGGGACAGCCCTTGCTTATTTTTCTAGTGCTGCCTTGATCCTGGGATAGAGCAGCCATTAATGACAGTTTGCTTTCACTCCATTTGGGAGCTTATATAAGCCACACAGTTCTGGGGTGTCATACAAGGCAGTAAAGCTGCTGCTTCCTATTCACCAAGAAGAAACACCTGATGTTTTTGAGCCGTGTCCTGTCCTGGTCACAGTTCAGAAGCTGCATAAATAGCCTTCCAGAAGCAGAACAAATATTCACTTCCCTGTCAGACTTCAGAGAATGCTTGTGGTAGGCGATTGCTTGGGGGGCATCTCATTGCCTCCCACTTCATCACAAAGCCTTCCCTGGGGAGGAGAGATGTTAGAAAATTGGACTCCATTTATTGTCAATGAATGAACTAATTCAGAGAGAAAAAGGACGAAGGATTTGTTTCCAGGCTAGAGGCCGCAGCCTGCTCCACTGTGCTTGAGAATGGTCCTCAGTTGAGACCTCAGAGTTCATTTAAAAATCAATTATTAAAAAAAAAAAAAAAGAAAGGTTTCAACTGAATCTTGAGGCTTTAAGAGCTTTAATGAGCTAGCAATTCACCCGAAACTCTATAATGCTTAATGCAGGTAGTTTCTCCATGTAACAAACACACTGTGTTTCAGTTATAGGTCTAGATCTCAAAGAACATCAAAGTTTTGAAGCAAAAGAGGAAGTTTCTGGAAAGAGAGTATAACACTGTGACATGACCTGTAAACCATACTCCCAGGCCAGCTCTGGCATTAACTTTCTGTGTAACCTTGGGTAAATTACCTCATCACTCTGATCCTCTAGTATCTTATCTATACACTGAGGGAGTTGAACTATAAAACTGTGAGCTTGTCTTTTAAGCTGTTAAGTTTATACTCTTACTCATGAGTCCATTCATCCTTTCTTTAGGTACTCACTGGAAGAAGCCATGTGCCAGGTGCCAGGGTTAGAATGAGGAGGAAAAAGATGCTGACCAAGCCCTCACGCCTCTGTGACACTGTCCTAGTCATCCCATACAAATATCATTACAACCTGGGACAAGCGCTAACCAAGGAAAACTAGGCAGGTTCATGCATGCTTATAACCAGGAAAAAATTCCAATATGTGGTCAGGAAAGCCTTCCTGGAGGAGAACTCCTTTAAGGTGAAATGTGAAAGATGGGTAGGAGAAGAATGAAAGAAGGAATAACATATGTTAACACACTGAAAAACAGTGAAAGTGAAGTCGCTCAGTCGTGTCCGACCCCATGGACTGTAGCCTACCAGGCTTCTCTATCCATGGGATTTTCCAGGCAAGAGTATTGGAGTGGGGTGCCATTTCCTTCTCCACTGAGGATCTGAGGAAATAAGAAGTCAGTGTGGCTGTGGCAGGGAGAAGTGTGAAAAAGATCAGTATAAGATAGGTAGAAGGGGCCAGATGGCCAACGGCATGGGAAGTTCTATTAAGAACATTAATTCTCATTTGAAGGGCACTGGGAAGCCACTGAAGGCTTTAAACCTAGACATGAAACAATCAGGTTCACACTGTCTGGCTTTAATGTGGAAAATGGACCTGAAGGAGGCCAAGAGAACAGACAGGAGGCCAGTTGAGAGACAGCTTATGAGCACAGGTGAGTGATGGTGGTAGCGATGCAAAGGGGTTAATTCTTTGCTGTCAGCACTAGTGAATATTAGAGGTGACTTTTGAACATTCACTCAACGATGAAGCCACACTCTCCTTCCATTTGTCCATAGCAGGGTCCCACAAACCTGGAACAGGACCCCATTTCAGGTTCTCAGAACCTTATTCTTTTCCCCCATAGCCCCTCCACAGCTGCTATCTGTCATTTGTCTAACTTTAGTTAATGTCTGAGGCTCCAGCTAGACTATATAAGTCCTCAGAAGGCAGGAGCTGTATCTGCTTTGTTCCTATTATTTTTTTCCGAGTGCCTAAGACAGTGCCTGGCACATAATTGGTGCTATGTTAAATGAGGAAAATCAGTGAATGAACAACATGAACAAAGCAGACATCTCAAAGCAGAGACCCTATGGAGATTATATCTGGATGGAGGAAAGAAGGTAAAGAAGATACCAGTAAGCACAAATACACTGGTCTCTTAAAAACAATTGACTGACACTACATTTTCCATGAGACCTGACAATAGGGCATAAGAAACGAGGAAGTATTAGTCTCTCAGTTGTGTCTGACTCTTTGAGACTGCATGGACTGTAGCCCACCAGGTTCCTCTGTCCACGGGATTCTCCAGGCAAGAATACTGGAGTGGGTTGTCATGCCCTTACCTGGGGAAGAAATGAGGGTATTGGCACATTGGTCCCAGTCAGCATCCGTAACTGGTGATCCCTGGGTCCTACACACATTATCTGCTTTCCATAGGCCCTTCCTTTATACACAATAGCCACTAAATATATATTTGTTGTACTACAAGCAGATGGCTTTAGACAGTCACATAACTTCTATCAACCTCACTCTCCTTCACCATTACCTGGGATTTAGCCAGCCAGCCTTCTCTGAGAAAGATCAAATTAAAAAGACTCTGAGAAGTGGAGGGTTCCATCTGTCCACAGGTAAGATACAATCATGAGGCCCCGGAACAAAAGGAGACGAGTGGAATGTTAAGAGAATAGAGAAAGGAGGCAGAAGATGGAGAAGACGGACAAGTGCCAAAAAAGCAGCAAGACAGCCACGAGGAGAAACAGTGGCAGCAGAAAGCTAATTTTCCAGGCACATCATCTGTCTTGGCTTCTCAGTCTTGTCTGAAAGGAAGCCAGGCGGGCAACGTACTTGTGTGTCTCTAAAATGACCCTTGAAATTCATTTGTACCAGGAGCTCTATCTGGTATTTTGTGTTTTGTTTTCTGTTTCATTTTTCAGTGGCTCTTGCAAGAGACTTCAACTCCAGGCACAGCTCTATGCGGCACATCCATAAATCCTCCCTGCTTCTCTGCCAACTCCCAGACAGGCCATAATGGGAGAGGGCAGATAAACAAATAAATACGAAATAGTGAAGGGCAGTCAATTCAGCAACTCAGCCTCATCCATCAGTCCTTCCCTCCATTGCCAGAGCCAAGCAGCCTCAAGGTTGTTTTAGAAACACAGAAGCGCATCGCTACGTAATGACGGTGCATGCTATGGGGTAAAGCTGGCCCAGCTCCTGCTTCTCTACAACAGGCTGAGGAGACAATGAGGATCCTCTCCTGCTCTGCAGAAGCACATCATTTCAACAGAAATAAGAAAAATACCTAGATGCTAGAGTAAATAAGATTTTAAAAGCCTGCAACAACCAGGTTACTAACAACATTTCTGATGACTGGCACACACATAATGGTAACCGCGGGCTCTAGTGTCAGACAACCTAGGATCAAATTCCGGCTCTACCAGCTGCTGGCTTTGTCAGCTAAGCAACTTCATCTTTCTGGGCTTCAGTCTTATCATCTTGCAAATGGGAATCAAAACCACCCTCCGGTGCAGGACTGGCATGGGAATTCAATGAGACAATGAAAGTCAACTGATGAACACACTGCTCCAAGAATGTGATAAAAGTTAACTGTTATTTTTAAATTGAGTATTACACAGCCATGGAAAAAGATAACTTTTCTCTTTTATCAGCATCAAAGGATGTCCATGACTTGTGGCTAAATCAGAGACTTCCAATGGTAGGGGTGAAGTGGGGCTGGGGCACAGGACTATAACTTTTGATTGAGAACATCACAGGTACTGTAAGAAAACTGTTTACTGATGATTGAGCTAGCACAGGTGTGACTTTTGCAGAAGCAGAAAGATGGAAAACAACTGTGAAATGAAACAAATGGGTTATTAACATTTTTAAGTTATTTTCCATTTTAATATGGAGATCAAGGAGCTATCTTTCAAGTATATATATGTCAAAAAATACCTGGAAAGACGTATACCAAAATTTAATAGTGGTTGTCTAGCATGATGGGATTAGAGGTATTTTCCTAACCATTTCATTTCCATTTTTTCCCTATTGTCTAGTTTTATAATTGACATGTTTGACTTTCACAGTTATATAAAACACCCCTTTCTACGTGGGAAAGTGACAAATTTTACTTTCACTGAGTCAAGAAGCATGTAAATTTCTAAAATAAAAAGCATCTTGGGATCTTTTTTGTCAGAAAGTAAGGGGAACCTAGGCAAATTTAAGAAACACATCTGAGGCCGTGACCTATGGTAAGTGGTGGTAGGTTAGGAACAAAAGTAGTTCCTTTGCCCCTTTCTATGTTCTTTTCCCCTGCGTTGACCTTGTACCTTACATCCCCATGTCAAGGCCCCAAACTAGGGAGTGGATTGATTCTGTAACTTTCAATCCTCTTTTATCATTTATTTCTATACAGCAGGTGGGCACTATATCACCACTCTCCCCCTCTAACCTTAATATATTCATAATGACACTTTTCTGTTGCAGATTTATGATGAGGTTGTATGTCTGAGTGTGTGTGTTTGGAATTTAATCTTGACAGCAATTATGCAAGGAAGATCCTACTACAGATGAAGAAACTGAAGCTCGGAGGTGGCTGAGGTCCCACAGCTGGTTTGCAGCCAAACCATAATTCACCCCCACTTTCAGACACTCAACTCATCCTCTTGCTTTTGGTCCCCAACCTTTTTGACACCAGGGACCAGTTTCATGGAAGACAATTTTTCCACAGACCGGAGAGGGGAATTGTTCTGGGATGATTCAGGCACATTACATTTATTGTGCACTTTATTTCTACTATTACATCAGCTCCACCTGAGATCATCAAGCATTAGCTCGCAGAGGCTGGGGACCCCTACTAGTCTTAACCACTTGGCCCTCTGCCCCCTCCTTTCTTGCCTGGTTTTTCCCACAGGAATAAGTGCCTTTAGAATGGCTGGTTACTCTTTTCCTAGGCCACTAAGGAATCATAGTGGTTTTGCCTATGACTGCCTATGAACATGTAGAGCTTTGTTTTAGAAAAATAGCCAGGTGTGACCTGACATCTACTTTTCTTATATTAAAAACAGTTCAGTGATAAAGATGAAATGACATATGTCACCCTGTGCAGAGGACCCCTGCAGGGTTTGCCTGCCAACCATCCAGCCCCTTCTGTAACAGCACCTTGGTCCAAGAACACCTTTATCACTATACACTATTTCGCTGGGGCTGTCACTCACAGGACCGAGTGCTTCCTTTGCCAAGTGGTGAACTGGGACCCGAACTTGGCATTCAGACTTCCCCTTCTGGGGTTCAGATTCAGAGTGGGGAAGCATAAGAAAGGGATGGGGTTGGAGTAGATTCATACCAGTGATGGGGTAAGCATTATATCCTGCTACCCAGCTTCTTGAGGCTAAGCTATCCTGGGTCCCATCTTTTCTCTAGATGGTTTTTCTCTTTTGATAACAAAACAACAGTTGTTGTTATTAGGGCTTAATTTAGCCGCAGTCAGTTTCTGTTACTCGCATCAAAGAACTGTGTTGGATACACCATTCAAATCTAGTGTGACAAAAACTAACTGAGGCTTTGTTAGAGAAGATCAGCTGAAAATAAAATGAAACTAAACTAAACTCAGTCATAGCAGTGGTGCTGGCTGCAGTCCAGACAGCAGCTGTCCTGCTCTAACACAAGGCTGGTCTGCATGCCTTCTACCGTGCTCTACACTCCTCGGTCCCACCAGATGCCCCCAGGTTTCCTTCCAAGCAGGGTCTCGGTGAAGAAAGTTCTGTAAGACCCTTCCATCTGCCTCTTTGCACTGCTGTTGGGGCCAGCCTGTGAAGGAACCAAAATTAAGCAGGTAAATGGGGAGGGAGGTGAGGATGAGGACGGAGGGTGAGAGGGCTTATGTTTCACAATTTGTCTTAAAAGAGCTGAGAGTTAGAAAAATGTGGGCGCTCTGGAGAAACGGGGTGGGGGGCTCTCTGATGCCTTAGCACTGTGGCATGGAAACAGGATGAAGTTGCTGAGCTGGATCTCAGAGCATCCACCTTGGTGCCCAGCCTTCAAAGCCATCATGAGAGAGATTAAAGGATTAATCTCCTGCCCTGTTTGATCTGCTTTGCCACAGGGAACCTTGGTCTCCCTTTATCTTGGCCCAGCTCTGCTTCCAGGCCTGACCAGCTTGCAATGAATGCTGGGCAGCTGGGCTCAGACTGGGCTGGATGTGGGTGGGCACAGATGGAAAAAGGACAGTGGCTCCCCACTCCCTTTTAAAAAAAAAATGCTCATTACTACTCTAGCAGGTTGACAAAGCATTACTGTCTTTGCAAAACAATGCTATTTTCAGAAACTGACTTTAGTATTAATAACTGACTATAGCAATCTCAGAACTTTTGGAGAAAAAGTTTCTGTTTGTCTGTTTGTTTTTAAATTGTCATTATCACTTGTAAACTGGGACATGTCAGGATTGGTATGGTGGGATGGAGAGAGAGAGAGAATGTGCAGAGGAGTGGAGGTTGAGAATTTAGGAGACTATCTGTTGGTTTTGCCTCTTAAGCATATATTCCCCCTTCTATTAAAAAGGATCCCAGTTTCTTAATGGGAAACCAGGCCATTTCAACATAAATGGTTCCAATGGGACTGAACCTGCACTCCAGCTCCAGAGGTAGTGTCTGTCCTGGGTCTGATCCTTGGTCTACCTGACGAGGCAAGCACTGACATAAAAGCGACTGGATCCCAGAGGAAGGGATGGGATTCTGCAACTGGGCAGAGGAAGAGATACTAGCTCTCCACTGCCCAAGAGTGAAAGGAGAGAGAGAAAGGGATGAGTAACCAACTTGGAGCACTCCCAAGTGATGTATCAATCCTGATACCTTGACTAGGGACCTTTGCTTCAGAGGATTAGGCTTCCCAAGAAACACGAATCTCAAGACACTCTAAAGCTTTACTAATGAATACAGTAAATAATTCATACCCAACATTATTTCCTGTTACTCAGATCTCAATATTAAATATTCAGTAATTTCTTTTATGTCTGTATTCTCATCAGACTAAACAGACGCACTTTCAAATAAACTAGCCACTATAGAGGAAAATATCAGGACCACTATAGATATCATGGTAATTTCCAGGGACTCATTAGCAAGTTGATGACTATTAATTTTCAAATTTAATTAATAGATAGAAATGGTGCTTTCTTGTAATTTATATCATTAGTCAAATGAGCTTTCTAATTAAGATCTGCAATCTGCAAATTTACAAACTCATGAATGACTCTAAACATGGAGAATTATTGATAAGTGTCTGCCTGGTCTCAACTGGTTTCCAGATTTTGACAAAAGGGGGATAATTGGTTTCAAGCCCTGGCAGTTTCTAAACAGAACCTTCTTAAATATATTTAGGTTATTCACTGCCACACAACCACTGTAATGGCAGATCTCATTTCCATTCTCCCTTAAATCTAACCAAAAAATATGGCACATCAGATGAAGCACTAAGTTCAACCCTTATTGGCAATCATTAACCCTGTTTGTAAAATGAAAAATAAAATTAAATCTGACATATATAAAAACAAATCAGACTTCTAAAACAGATCCAAATAGAAATTTCATTGAGGAAAAAAAAGCATGCAAAGTGAGTCTGTGGATGGACCTAGCAAACATCAAGGAGACAAAGGCTGTTTATTATTAAAGGATAACTAGCAAATCAATTGGAGAAGGCAATGGCACCCCACTCCAGTACTTTTACCTGGAAAATCCCATGGACAGAGGAGCCTGGTAGGCTGCAGTCCATGGGGTCGCAAAGAGTCGGACACGACTGAGCGACTTCACTTTCACTTTTCACTTTCATGCATTGGAGAAGGACATGGCAACCCACTCCAATGTTCTTGCCTGGAGAATCCCAGGGACGGCGGAGCCTGGCGGGCTGCCATCTATGTAGTCGCACAGAGTTGGACACGACTAAAGTGACTTAGCAGCAGCAGCAAATCAATCAATAATATTTTCACAAGATCTCATTGCAATCTTACTCCACTCTTTCCATGAAAGAAGGAGTCAAGTGCTTAGCAACAAGGAGCGTTTCACTGAATCAATCAACGGACATTTTTAAAGCATCTACTGAGAAACACAGCACTCAAGGGCAGAATAAGCATGTGCTTATCGACTAAAGCAGGGACACCTGTGTTTTTGTTTTAAAACAATTTTCTACCTAAAAATTGAGTAAAGAAAGGAAAAAAGGAGGAAGGCATTTTAATAGCTATGTGACTTTGAAAAATTGACTTAACTTCTCTGAGCCTCAGTCTCTTCATCAGTAAAATGGGAATAATATCACTGTTGTCAAGATTAAACAAGAAATGGTATGTAAAACACTCACCACTCTTCCTGGTATAACAATTTATAGTTTCCCTCACCCCTTGAACAAAATGCTCCTTTATACTCCTTAAAGTTATAATCAATCACAGACCCCTTGACCTCAGGAAGGATGGCCCTGTAGAAGGCCAAGGCTACTGTTCTCACTGACCAGTATTTCAGAAACCTGGACTTCAGGTTTGAGCAGTGTTGGCATTCTTCTGTCCAGCGAACCTTACCTCATAGTAACTCTGGACAGCGTTCATGAAGGCTTCGTCAGCCACGATTTGAGTTTCCCCATTGAGGAAAGCCTGAAACCGGTCCTTGACTGTCTGCAGCTGTTGTTTGCTGATCTGTAAGAAACAGAGGAGGAGGAGATGGTGAGGCCCTTCTCTAAATAAGGGTCACAGTTACGTTATATTGAAGATGCCAGGCCCATTGGCATGCTGGAGCTGGCATGTACTGGCATGTGGAAGCTGATTGCTATATTTGCAGAAATTCTGTGAGGCAGTTGTTAAACATATCATTACCAAAAATTAACATTAATTAGAGCTAAATTATATTAAAAACAAAATTAAAAAGCTCAGAATTCAATGCTTCCCGATTCTTTGATTATTATCTGTGTTTTTGAGATTACTTACATCTATTGTATTTCCATGGTGGAAATGATAGATAATGGGGATGCTACCATACATTTCTTCCCAGTTTTGCATTCAATTATTTTTTTATTTTGAGAGATAGATATCAGCCAAGGTGGAAGTCTGTATTCTACAGAAATTAGCAAATGCTACAAATCAGAGTTGGATTTTGTTGTTGCTGTTTCTGTTTTTTTGAGATCTGTTTTCTTGTTTTTAACACACCATTGCACAAGCCCCTCAAAAAGGCTGAAATATCCTGCTTTACAAAGATATAATAATCAAAATAGCATGGTACTGGCATAAAAATGGACACACAGACTAATGGAACAAAAGTGAGAACCCAGAAATTAACCCACATATATATAGCTAACTAATATTTGGCAAGGGAGCTAACAATACTTAATAGGGAAAGGAGAGTCTCTTCAATAAATGATGTTGGAAAACCAGATATTCACATGCATCAGAATGAAACTGCACTCCTATCTTCTACCACTTTTACACACACACACACACAGACACACACACACACTTCCCTGATAATTCAGTTGGTAAAGAATCTGCCTGCAATGCAGGAGATCCTGGTTCAATTCCTGGGGTCGGGAAGATCTGCTGGAGGAGGGATAAGCTACCCACTCCAGTATTCTTGGGCTTCCCTTGTGGCTCAGCTGGTAAAGAATCTGCCTGCAATTTGGGAAACCTGGGTTCAATCCCTGGGTTGGGAAGATCCCCTGGAGAAGGGAAAGGCTACCCATTCCAGTATTCTGGCCTGGAGAATTCCATGGACTATAGCCCATGGTGTCACAAAGAGTCAGACATGACTGAATGACTTTCACTTTCACAAAAATTAATTCAAATATGTTCAAGACTTAAATGTAAGACCTGAAACTATCATAACTACTAGGGGAAAACATAGGGTAAAGCTTCTTGACATTGGTCTTGGTGATGATTTTTTGGCTATCACACTAAAATCAGAAAAGAATAACATCAAAAATAAACAGATGAGAATACATCAAGCTAAAAAGCTGCCACATAGCCAAAGAAACAATCAGCAAAATGAAATACAACCTATGGAATGGGAGAAAATATTTTCAAATCATCTACCTGGTAAGAGGTTAATACCCAAAAGACATAAAGAACTCATATACCTCAACAGAAAACAAAGAAAAGATTAAAAAAATGGGCAGAGGACTTGAATAGACATTTTTCCACAGCAGACATACAAATGGCCACTAAGTACATAAAAAGACGCTCTATTTTACTAATCATGAGGGAAATGCCAATCAAAACTGCAATCACTGCACATGTGCTAGAGTAGCTATTATCAAAAAGATAAGATATAAGTATTGGCAAAGGTGTTGAGAAAAAGGAATTCTATTAACTCTTGCCAGAACTGGTGCAGCCACTGTGGTTCCTGAAAAAATTAAAAATACAACTACCATATCATCTAGCAATCCCACTTCTAGGTATACATTCCCAGGAAAGGAAGTCACTCTGTTGAAGAGATAACTCCTTCCCATGTTCATTGCAGTATTATTTATAATAACCAAAATATGGAAGCAACCTACTGCCCATCAATGTATGAACGGGTAAAGAAAATTTGATATATATACATATATACTTGTGTTTATACACATGCACATACATATACATACATAATACATATATACATTGTAATATTATCATACATACACAGATACACACATTGGAATATTACTCAGCCATAAAAAGAAAATCCTCCTTTTGCAACAACACATAGGGACCTTGAAGGCACTATGCTAAATGAAATAAGTCAGACAGACAAAGATACATACTGTATGTTCTCACATATGCAGAATCTAAAAAGCCTGAACTCATAAAAACCAGAGATATAGAGACTACAATAGTGGTTACTGGGGGCTGGGGGTGGGGGAAATGGAATCAAAGAGTGAAAATTTCTAGCCATAAGATGAGTACGTTCTGGAATTCTAATATGTATAACATAGTGGCTATAATTTATATTACTCTATTAAGCATTTGAAAGTTGTAAAGAGAGTAATGTTACATGCTATCACCACAAGAGAAAAATGGTAATTATGTGAGGGGATAGAAGTGTTAAGATTGTGGTAAGATTCTGCAATATATGCATGTACTGAATTGCCACACTGCACATCTTAAACCTATATATGTTATATTTCAATCACATTTCGATAAAGCTTAGGGGTAAGTATCCTGCTAAGTGCAGCATGGAAATAGACAAAACATTTTAAACTGTACTGTTATTCCAGGGTGTGGCATAGATAATTGGAGCAGTAAGTTATATGTGATTCTCCACCTCATCAAGCCTGCATTTCTTCCCCACTTAGGAAAGCATCCCTGAAAGATTCCTATTTATTTTCTCTTCTCCATCCCTTATCATGCTGTGTTCCACTGTCCATCAGTCTCAGGAAGCCCTTCCCAAACCCGAGCCTATATTTGCCTGCTAAGTAATTCCAGGCTACATCATGTATTCTAACTACTTGTTAGTTACGACCAAATCTGGTAGATGATCTGCCTCTTCTTGCTATTTTGTTCACTGCTGTTTCCCCAGGGCCAACTTAGTACTTTAATACATGCCAGGTATTCATGTTAAATGGATGAATGAATGAAGTGTATGGAAGATAAATTATTTTTGAACATCCTTTCATCATTTCTAATTTATCTAAAAAAAAAGTTAGCTAAAAACTTTGCCCTTTTAAATGTTATTTATACAAAGGCATGGATTTCCCTGGTGGCTCAGATGGTAAAGAATCCACCTGCAATGCAGGAGATGAAGCAGATCAGGTTCGATCCCTTGAGTTGGGATGATCCACTGCAGAAGGGCATGGCAACTCACTCCAATATTCTTGCCTGGAGAATTTCATGAACAGAGGAGCCTGGTGGGCTACAATCCATGGGGTCGCAAAGAATTGGACACGACTCAGTAACTTTCACTTTTTGTACAAAGTCACACCTCCTAATTGACAATAGGATGCTGTGTCTGAGAACTGCTGCTCTAGCAGAAAGACAAAGAAGATCATTTCAGGCCCAGTTCTACCAACCACTGTGTCATCTTGCAAAAGCGACTTATGTTTTCCGAGATTGCCAAACTTACAATTCATTGCTGGAATAGGGCCATGATTAAATAAGTAAATGTTATCTCATCCTCAGTTTTCTCACTTGGAAAATAATCCTAATTACTCACTATTTTGGGATAGTTATAGCTATTCAGTGACATGATACAAGTTCTTTCCTTCTTTTTTTTTATATTATGAGTTTCTATATACATTGAGAGTGTTTTCATCACTTGAGTCAAAGAAAGTCTTGCTAGTAGAAAATAAGGCTAAAAGCTATAGGAGACTGAAGCCTGGTGTGGGTTTTGACTCCATCAGGAAATGAATTGAAGCAGAACAGATTTTTGAGAACAGATATACATGAAAGTTGGGGTGCTTTAGCTAATTTTTTGTACTTTGGGAGAACTGGGGAATGGTGAATTTGGAGGCAGACATAGAGGGCTTTCCTGGGTGGTAAAAAGCATACCTGCCAAGGCAAGAGATGCAGGTTTGACCCCTGGGTTGGAAGATTCCCTGTAGAAGGAAATGACAACCCACTCCAGTATTTTTGCCTGGGGAATCCCATGGACAGAAGAGCCTGGAGGGTTAAAGTTCATGGGGTCACAAAAGAGTCAGACACGACTTAGCAACTGAGCAGCACAAAGTAGTTAGATTTGCATCACATTCACAGCTGTTTTGTTCTAGAATGCCAGTGGCCAATGTAATTTTATATTTTCTAATAAATTTTCATTTTCTAGTCACATTTCAAAAAGTAAAAAGCAGGTAAAATGAATTTTCATATACTTCATTAGTCCCAACATGTCAAGATACTATCACATTGATTGTAACCATTGGAGAAATTATTAATAAAATAGTTTACATTCTTTTTTTATACTGTGTCTTTGAATTCAACATGTGTGTGTTTTAGTTGCTCAGTCGTGTCCGACTCTATCTGACCCCATGGACTGTAGCCCCCCTGGCTGCTCTGTCAATGTAATTCTCTAGGCATGAATACTAGGAGTGGGTTGCCATTTTCTTCTCCAGGGGATCTTCCCAACCCAGAGATCAAACCCGGATCTCCTGCATTTCAGGTGGACCCTTTACCAGTCTGAACCACCAGGGAAACCCGTGTACACCTAAAGTATATCCCAATTCAGAATAACCCCACTGCAAGTGTTGAATAGCCACAGGTAGCAAGTGTCCAGCGTGGGCCTAGAGCATGGAATAAGTCACTTCTATGCTGCCTAAGCTTTACTGTTCTAACCTGAGTATATTGATTATCAGTGGAGTTGTACAGAAAATCATACATATAGTTTTATATATTGAAATATCCGGCAGCAGTTGATTTACTGATAAAAATTACATCATCACATGAATATCTTTTAAGCAGGCTGATTTAAGTCACAAATCTTTACAGTACAGAACCAACTGAAGCATCTCACAGAATTTCTTGCTCAGAATTCCTTCTAAGTCTGGATCCATACCAACTCTCCAAGATTCGGGAGCTGGATGCAGTGAGGTGATGGGCAGGAATGGAAAGGAAAACAATAAACTATGCTTTTACCTTAAGTGCTTAAATAATTAACATAAAATGAGGTGCACACAATCTAGAAGACAAGGATTGTTGACCCAAGCCAAATCCATTATCACTCTTACCTTTTGTTAAAC